GACACGTCTCAGTTGCCCCCCCTATTATCCGACTCCGAACCTCCAGGAGTCCGAAAGCATACTTGTAACAGTTGGCCGTACTACAAGATTTTGATAAACTTTTTTTTACCAGACGATTTTTAAACAGTAAAATTAACCCAACTAAGGAGTTGAAGGTCATTGGAAATACGCTCAAAAGGATGAGAGGAGACCAATATAAATTCTTTCGTATTACAGTTCTTTACAGCTGAGTTTTTAAATTACTTGAGGAGCATTAATTAGTTCTTAAGGGCAGAGCTATCGAGAGACAACAACTAATTAATATGAAAAATTTGGAAAAGTGTCGAAAGAAAAGCTAAAGCATGCTTTGCGAAAATTGTTAGATTTTGTGAAATTGTGTTATTCCCAGCTCAGAACCAGAAACCACAAATAATTCTTTTGTTTGGGATAAACCCCGGGCAAAGCCCATAATTTAAAATACAAGAATCACATTCAAAAGAAGCTCTGGGAAAGGAAAAGAAAAAACCCTTAACCCAACCCAAAAACCTTATTCCCAAAAGCAACGATACAAGGGTACATCTGTTCGCACTCTCAAGCTACCCCGATACTCGCCATTTTAAGCTACGCAGTGAGAGAACAGTGCAGTGTAGGCGCAGAATTAAACTCAGAACATACCCACGCCTAGCGCTTCGGCAGATCCTGTGTCACAGACCTTTTTGCCGATCAGGATTCCGCCCGCGTTATTATCTATATCACATGATTAGGAACGCCTGCTATGGGCATTATAAAATAAATAAAGGACTTCCAGACATATAAGGCTCCATGTCACGCCACGTAAGTTCGTTCGCAGAACTATGCAATTACATCCAGCTACGCAGCTTACCTCGCAACTGCACAAGCCCTTCATAACTCGCATAGAGCAACGTCAAACATCAATAAGTGTAATCTTACTACCATGCTAGAAGACTTATCCATTCGAACCGTGAGTAAGTGGATACATGCCGAAGGCACACGGTTGCCAGAGAGAACCCCAAAGGAAGCAGAAGCAAGAAAAACGACCCAGCATCTAGCCCTCCACAGACACCTCCGACTAGCAAAACGGAGCACAACGAAAAAACAACAGTGTTGCCTGGAAGCCGGGACTATTTCTCCACTGGTATTGAAGAGACCAGCCAGCTCATCATCGTCTTATGTTTAAACTTTCCACCATCCAATGCCGTAATGTAATTGAGTCATACCCGAGAAATGAAGCAAAAACACCCCAACATGCGAACTGGAAGGTGTGGCAATTTAGAAAATGCCACCCAGTCCCCCCAAAAAAAAAAAAAAAAATCTTTCCCAAGGGTCTGAAAAAAGAAAGCCAAGAACAGTTGCCCTGGCCCAAAAACTACAAACCCAGGCATACATAATTGAAGTTGTAATTGATACTAGCAAACAAAAGTTTGCCAAAAAAACTCTGCCAGAGATGCAAGCAAGCAGACCCAATTAAAGTTTCCCTGGAACCTGTGAAGTATATAGCTCTCTGTATTTCCATTTTGAAATTTTCATCTTACTGCGAAGAGATATTGCAAATGATTTAAGCCACGTTGATCCTAATGATTAAGAGAAACAAACGGTTGTTTCTTTCTTTCAGATGTGGTAAATGATGCGCTTAAGAAAAAGACAGAACTCCAATCTCATATTTCTTAAAACCTCACGTATTACCAAAGAAATCAAAAAATCTGAGTAAAGTGGGCCTAAGATAAAAGCATTTGAAGATCAGGCAATTAGCGGAGAATGTAAAATTGAGAGATCACAGGAAAAAAATAGGTGGGAATGAGTCTCCAAGTGACCAGAGCACAAAACACAATTTAAAGGCACCTGAATACCCCTAGTGCTGAGATTATCCGCAGTTTTAAGCTTGTCAAGCATGGCCATCCAAGTAAAACAAGAAAATTTTATGGCATGCATCATGTGCCAAAAAAAATCGTGCCAATCCACCTTAGGGACAGTGGAGTAAAAAAACTCAGTAAAGTTTTTGAAAATCCATATTGAAGTGCCATTCCATAAAACCTCATTCTTCTCCTTAAAATCCACAACCAAAATGGAAAAAGAAATGCCAGGAGGTAAAAAATAAGGCAGTTGCCAAGTACCATACATAAAAAAATCCTTTACCCGTTTATCATCCAGAGACGGCATAGAAAAAGTATCACCAATACAATGCCCGTTAAGCCAGGGATCCCATAAGAATGAGTAATCACATAAATTAGACATAGAAAATGAAATCATGTCTTTAATCCTGAAAGCAGTATCAGAAATTCTATGCCAAAATTTGGAGGCATATGAGGGGGGAGGTTTCCAGGGGGATGTATATTTAGCCTTATACCAGTGACTCAAAAGATTTTGATTGTTGTAAAATCTGCCAATGAAGGAACAAAAAACTCCAAATTGAAGAGCTTGAAAAGAAGGGATGCCAAGGCCACCCGCAGCTTTAGGAAGAGTAACTTTAGACCAAGAAATAAGATGCATTTTCCTTTCCTCAATGTTGCTATGAAATAAGAATCTAGAGCATAATTTATTTAAAGTAGCGCAGCAACCTTTTGGTATGATGGATCCCCTAATCCAGTAAGCTATGGTGTTGATGATAGTGAATTTTAAGAATTGCACCCTGCCTGCAAAAGAGAGAAATTTGTTTTTCCAACCAGCAAGTAGAGCATGAATTTTGCTCAGAAGAGGTTGGAAGTGAGCGGATTTGAGCCTAGTAGGAGAAATCGGGATACCTAAATAGGTAAGATAGGTATTGATGTTATGAATACCAAGCTCATCACAGATTAATTTATTGTCAGGAAAATTGTTGGAGAAGATAATGACGCTTTTGTTGGCGTTAATATGAAGTCCCAAAATATTGTAGACATCTTTGAAGATTAGCTGCATTCTCTCTTGAAGAGTCACCCACCACCAAAAGATCATCAGCATACATCAAGTGATTGATGTACATATCCTTGCAATTAATACCTTTGAAATGGTAGGGATCAGAATAGTTATTGAGGATATTGGATAAACCATCCATAACAATGCAAAAAAGGAGAGGTGATAATGGGCAGCCCTGACGAAGTCCCGAGTTGGATTTGAAGTAACCTTCAAGTGAGCCATTTAGACAAATTGAGAAATGAACATAAAAAATACAACCTTTGATCCAAGAAACAAAAGTCTGAGGAAACCCCTTCTGCAAGAGCCTAGCAATGAGAAAATCCCTAGAGACAGAGTCGAAGGCCTTTTTGATATCCAGCTTAGCACAAAACTTCTTGCGGTTCCCTTTAAAATCCCGTAAAATCTCAGATGCTAGGATAATGTTATCCGTAGAACATCTATTAGAAATGAAACCGGATTGGCTTTCATGAATAACAAAAGGGAGAACAATTTTGAGCCTATTTGCAATAATCTTGGCTATAATTTTGTAAAACACATTACAAAGAGAGATGGGCTTGAAGTCATTAATGTTAGCAGCATGAGAGCATTTGGGAATTAAGGCAATTGCCGTAGCCTTTACTCCACTAGGAAGAGCTCCAGTAGAGAAGAAATTATTAACTGCATTGAACACTTGCATACCAATGAGATGCCAAGATTTTCTATAAAAAGCATAGGTGAAACCGTTAGGACCAGGAGCAGATTTTTCATTACCTTCGAAAACCGCAGACTTGACCTCCTCAAAGGTTAAGGCACCCACCAGCATGCTATGGAAATGAGGAGGAACTAAATTTCCAGAGGGAATGTTTAAAGGCAAAACAAGGTTGGAATGGGGTATGTTAAACAAAACCTCAAAATGCTTAACAATGGCTTTAGAAATATCCCTGAAAGTAGAAAAATGACCTTTCGAAGTGGTGATTTCCTTAATGCAATTTTTGTTATTTCTGCTCCTAATTTTAGCAAAAAGAAAACCAAGGTCATCTTCCCCATGCTTGAGCCATAAGGCTTTAGCTCTCTGAGCTAACCATGAAGTCCAATTGGATTGTAAAGAAGCAAGATCATCATTAATGCTTTTCAGATTAAAATTAAGCTCCAGATCTAAAGGATTTGCTTGAACCTCTAACAAGCAAAGTTGTTGTTTACTTTTAGTTTCTAATAAAGCATTAGAAAGATAAGAAGAAGAAGCCCAGTTGCGATTTTTGAGAGTCCTCTTAAGCCTTTGAAGACTGTGATAAAAGGAAGCCATAGGACTTCTAGCAGATCTAGAAGAAAAAATAACAAGAACATCATCCCAGTAACCTTCCATGTTAATCCAGTAATTTTTGAACATGAATCTAGTAGATGGAGGCTTAACATGAGTAGATTTAAAAACTAAAGGTGAGTGGTCTGAACCAAGGGGCTGTTCCACAGTATAAAAAGCATTAGGTAAGAGATCCAGAAGAGCATTGTTTACCAAAACTCTGTCAAGTTTAATGTGGATGGGATAATCCACTTGTTGGTTGAACCAAGTATAGAAAAGACCCATAGAGGAAAGGTCTTGAACCCCACAGTTGAAAATCATGCTATTAAGTTCTCCCAATCTGCTGCTAGGGATAATAGTCCCCCCTGCTTTTTCTGATTCATATCTGCAACAGTTGAAGTCTCCCATGATAATCCAAGGATGATCCAAAGGAGGAGTGATTCTTAAAACTTGATCCCAAAGTTGTTTCCTTTCCTCCATAGAATTGGAGGCATAAATAGAGGTAAGATGAACAGGTGGAAAAGATCCCACAGAAAGAGTGCCATGAATAAATTGAGGGGAGGAGGAAATAAGATTAAATGAGAGGGCCTTGGAATCCCACTTAATCCAAATCCGTCCTAAAGCATCCCCAAAATTATTACAACTATCTTCATTCTCAAAGAGAGTATGAGAACGCAAAAACCACGGGTCATCGACAGAAGAAGAAGAAATTTTGGCTTCCAAAATACATAAGAGCTTGAGATCTTGTGATTTTATCAAAGACTTGCAGAAACTAACTTTTTCCGGGTTATTGAAACCCCTAACATTCCAACTAGCAAACGTTGGCAAAGGGATTTTAAAAGTTGTGAGCTTTGGCCTTCTTGGCCGATTTTCCCTTAGGAGGTTTGGACTTGCTGGGAGATTTCCCTTTGTCGGCTGTGGATCTAGTGTTGTGATGGTTTTGTTCAACATTGTTCAAGAGACGTTGAATAGAGGACTGGTCTTTCTCAGCGATGAAGCCGGAGTTGGTATCAGTCTCAGAAAAGGATTCCGAAGTATCATGAGATGTGTGTTCTTCAGTTTGCAAGGAAGCAAACTTGTTTAGGAGAGGAATTTTTGGGGGCTGTAAAAGTCGGGGGGAGGCTGGTAGACCAGAAGAGGAAGTTTCTTCTGTAGGAGAATTTAGATTAGGTAAAGGGGAGGCATTAGCCGAGGATGGCAAAGGGTCAGTTACAGGAGGTTGCCGAGAGGAAGAAGGCTGGTTAGCCAGCGACGTAACCAAGCAGGATGTTGGAGGGATCAGAACAGGATGGGAGGTTGGAATAGTGTGGGTGTCAACAAACTGGACGGCATCGGACTGGGTAGCCGAAGGTTGAAATGGAAGAGATGGAGTAGGTGGCAGAGCTGGGGTTGGGATAGTGATAACAGCATTGTTGATTTTTGTAGGTGGCTTTTTAGAAGGTGATCTGTGTGGTCTGGTATAGTGAGGTCTAGAGGAGCTTCGGCCTCTATTCCTAGGCGGCTGGGGAGGGAGAATCGGGTGAGGATTTGGGTTTTTGGGACATAGAGAATAAGGATGTATAATAGAGCCACAGCCTTCACACTTTTCAGGTTTCCAGTCATATATAACATTTAAAACTAAATCCTCTCCATCAATTTCAAGAGGAATTTCATCAGGTAATGCAGAATCCTTGGTAATAAGAACACATACCCGAGCATAAGTCAGTCTGGTACGATTTGCAGTAAGAGCATCAACTGAAATTGGTATACCTATATAGCTCGAGATCTTGGAAATGCCAGTGGGAGTCCAGAGCACCAGAGGGAAGTCTACGATTTTGATCCAAATCGGAATAGGCGCATCCTCATCACGCTTCGGCTTGAACCTAGGGGACCAACGCTGGAGAATGAACGGCTTTCCCAACAGAAACCACGGCCCTCCCGAAAGAACCATCTCAAGGTCTTCCACCATAGAGAACTTAAGCAAGAAAAAGCCATCGGCTAGAGATAGAAGAGTCGTAGAACCTTTTAAAGGCCATAGATTTTGCATAGCTTTGAGTAGTCGCTCGTAATAAGGTCTGGGACCTAGCGAATAGCCGATCAAAGTCGAAGTCCAGATAGTCTTCCCTTCCGAAAGATCGTCAGCTTTGAAAGAAAGCTTTTTTCCGGGAGAGTAGAAGGACATCGGAAACGGAGCCGGTGAAGAGGAAGAAGCCGAGACGTTAGCCGCATAGGATAGACCCGCAGGCGACGGGCCAAGCACAGAGGAAGATGGAAGCGGAGGAAAGTCGGAGGAAGAAGAAGCCATCCTGGAAGGGAGGAGCCCTTCCAGGCAGGGAGGCGGGAAGGAAAAACCTAGGCAGAGAAAAACCCTAACAGAGCAGATATTTTTCCCGCACCTCTAACCTCAGTGCTATATTTATTATGAACCACGAATATCTAGCAAGGTGCTCATTCCCCAATGCAAGTGTTATTTTCCAATGCAAGTGTCGGAGTATTTGCAGTTGATTACAAATGAGGCCCTTCTTAGGGAGAAGGCCTTAGTTTGATGTTACAAATGTACGTCATATAGAATGTATTACATTGTGGGAGTTACAATAATCAACATAGACATGTTTGTTTGGTTGGAAGGGCCATTGTCAGCAAGAGACAGAGGTCAGAAGGATCGTAGTCAGCAGGAGACTGGGTTCTGAAAGATAGTTGCTTGTGATGGAGGTTGGACTGACCGTAATAGGCAACAGAGGTCGGGAGGACCGTAGTCGGCAGGAGACTGGGGTCAGAAAGTCTGTTGTCCTATGATGGAGGTCGGAGTGACCGTAATAGGCGACGGAGGTCGGGAGGATCGTAGTCGGCAGGAGATTGGGGTCAGAAAGACCGTTGTCCTGTGATGGAGGTCGGAGTGACCGTAGTAGGCGACGGAGGTCGGGAGGACCATAGTCGGCAGAAGACTGGGGTCAGAAAGATTGTTATCCTGTGATGGAGGTCGGAGTGACCGTAGTAGGCGACGGAGGTCGGGAGGACCGTAGTCGGCAGGAGACTGGGTCAGAAAGACCGTTGTCCTGTGATGGAGGTCAGAGTGACCGTAGTAGGCGACGAAGGTCGGGAGGACGATAGTCGGCAGGAGACTGGGGTCAGAAAGACCGTTGTCCTGTGATGGAGGTCAGAGTGATCGTAGTAGGCGACGGAGATCGGGAGGACCATAGTCGGCAAGAGACTGGGGTCAGAAAGACCGTTGTCCTGTGATGGAGGTCGGAGTGACCGTAGTAGGCGACGGAGGTCGGGAGGACCATAGTCGGCAGGAGACTGGGGTCAGAAAGACCGTTGTCCTGTGATGGAGGTTGGAGTGACCGTAGTAGGCGACGGAGGTCGGGAGGACCGTAGTCGATAAGAGACCAGGGTCTGAAAGACCGTTGTAGTAAGGCGATAATATGGTAGAAACTCTAGGCGTCAGGTAGTCGCCCAGTAGAAATCCTGGCCTCAGGTGGTGTCCTGGTTGAGCACAGGATCTCAAGTGGCTGTTTGGCAGAGCAACGACGTAAGGCGGTAGTCCAACGGAGGTGAGGGCCTTCGGTGGTGGTCCGAAGAAGGTGAGGGACTCTGGCAAAGGTGAAGGCCTCTAGCAAAGATGAGGGCCTTTTGGCGAAGGTGAGGGCCTCTGGCAAAGGTGAGGGCCTTTGGTAAAGGTGAGGGCCTCACGTTTTGGTGAGGGCCTCTGGTAAAGGTGAGAGCTTCAGGTGTTGGTGATTGCCTTTGGCGAAGGTGAGCGCCTCAGATGAAGGCGTCAAGCCTGAACGTCGGGCCTTGAGCATAACATTGGGCCTTCAGCAGAATGTCGGGACTTGAGCAGAATGTCGGGCCTTGAGCAGAATGTCGGGTCTTCAGCAGAACGTCGGGCCTGAACATCTCCGCTGTGGTCTGACGAGGTTCCGGCGGTGGTCGAGGAGGAGCTTCTTAATGTCGGGCCTTCAGCAGAACGTCGGGCCTAAACATCGGGCCTGAACGTCGGGCCTTGAGATGGTGGTGTGGCGAAACTTCGGTGGTGGTCCGGCTAGGTTCCGACGGTGGTCCGGTGAGGCTCTGGCGGTGGTCCGGCGAGGCTCCTGCGGTGGTCGAGGAGGAGCTTCTTCCTTCTCTTCTTTCTCCTCTTCCTTCTCTTCTCCTCTTCTCTTCTTTCTTCCCTCCCCTCTTGTGAAGAATGATTGCTCTATTTATAGATTTTCTGGAGTGGCATGGCCCGTAAATAGGCGAGAGATCAGGGGTAAATGGGGAGTGGTCGGATGAACGACCGATGTTGAATCCCTTGATCATACACCGTTCTTTAGACATTTGAAGACCTTAATAATGTCGGAATTCGACGATCTTGGGTTCGTTGGATTTTTCTCGTCGAGTCGTTCGATTCGAGTATAAGCTCGTTAAAATCGGAGACCGTTTAGTATCTCAAATTGCGGTTTGAACCTTCCAACAGCGCTTCGGGTCCATGATTCGGTCCCATTTGGGCTCGGATCGAGTTGAATTTGGTGTCGTTGGGTTCGTATTTCTGAGACGCTCAGTTCGAGTATAAGTTTGCTGAAATCGGAGTCCAGATGCTCTCCGAATTAATTTTTGAAGTTTCCAATTTGATTTTGCATCAAGATTTGCGCCCGTTTAAGATAATTTTTTGACGAGATATCAGTATCTAAATTGTTCAAAAATTGAAAGAGCTCGTTCAAAGAAACTAGAACCTTGTTCAACCAACGGTTCAAATCGGTTCTATTTGATTTATTTGTAGGTGATTTTTGAAATGGATTTGATCATTCATATGACTGGATCACGATTAAGCCGATGGAATTGACCAATCCAATTTTTAAACTTATAGTTTGGAGCTTGAGATATACAAGCGCATTTTTATAATTATTTTTTTTGATATAATTTTTTGAACTTAAAAATATATAATTTTTTAAATCAAATAAAAATGTTAACTAATCAACATAAAGTCATATTTTGTAACTGTCCAATCAAACTTATACCTTCAAAGAAATAAAATTAGTTTATTTCTCAGAGCAAATTTATGCTTTGTAGGTAGCAGTTTTCTTGAAATTTTTTTATAATTTTTTTTTTAAGTAACAAAAAAAAAAAAGTGGCCAAACAGTCTCAAACGAAGCCTTAGAAGATAAAAAATTTGATTAGAAGAAGCAATTTTAATCATTTTTATTAAAAGAAACAACTATAAACAATGATAAATGCAAGGCTTAAAAAAAAATTAGCATAAAATAGAATTAATTAAAAATAATAGGAAAATATTAATTTTTTAGTTTATATATTATTAAAGTTGTTTTTTTAATTAATGTATGATTAAAGTTGTTTTTTTCAAAAATTTTGCCTACAACATATTCGAAAAATCAAATAAATTAATTGCTTCCTTATTTCTATTTCTTTTTTTAATGCATATAATTATTTGACATTCATTACAGGTGTTAATTTATTTTCATTTTATTTCCTTCATTTCAGGTTATGTATTAAATTAATATTTATTGCTAATGTTAATTCACTTTTCTTTTTTTTCCTTCTTTTAAGGGTATGTATTAAATTGGCATTTATTACGTGTAAATGTGTAATAATTCACTTTCTTTTATCTTCACTATTTTGTATCTATAAATAGAACACAAAAATTTATAACAAGTAAAAAAATAGAAATCTTTTATATTTGAGAGTCAAAGACCGAATAATCTCTCCAACATAAGACAGTTTCTACAAAGCAAATATAGAGAAATTTTCCTTCATCATCAAATCTCAAAATGGGAATGGAGTTGAAGGCCTTTATAAAGAATTTCTCTTCTATTCTCACCAATGTTGTTGAGGAAGAGGCAATTATGATTCTCGGTTTGAATACACACAGATTCAAAACCTATTGCAAAAAATAAGGAGTTTCCAAAGTTTGTTGGGGGATGCTGAAAAAAGGAAGTTTACTGAGCCATGCATTGGCCTATGGCTCTTATAGCTTAAAGATGTCATATATGAAGTCAAAGACACATTGACATATGTAAGATTGAGGGCTCAAAGCTACTTGAAATTCAAAATCATAATTCCAAAACAACTATGGTTTGCTGCAATTTTTCATATGTTTTCTCCTCTTTCACTAACGTTTCTCCACGTCATAATATAAAAAATATAATCAAAGAACTTAATGAAAGACTCCATCGTATATATGAAAATGCAAAATAATTTGAATTACAAGAATCTAAAAAATAAATATATCACTAGAGTTGATATTTGTCAAACTTCTTCCTTTGTTGATCCTTTAGTTGTTGGAAGATAGGTTCATGTTGCTGCAAATGAGTTGGTTAATCTTTTGATCACAAAGAAGGTTGAAGAAAAATGTCGTGTTTTTGCAATTACCGGCATGGAGGGTGTAGGAAAGACAACACTTGCTAAAAAAAAAATTAACAATCATGAAATCAATAACTATTTCAATGTAAAGGCATGGGCTTGTGTTACCCAACCTTACTCACAAATTGACTTGTTGAAGTTAATAATTATTGAGGATAAGGGAAGCTACATGGATGCTAATACCAAATCAGAGTTGTAGTCCATTCTTAGGGGTTCTGTTGTTTATGTCAGAGCCTTTTTCTTGTTCGAGATTATGAGTGGATACATTGATCGCCTACAAGTTCCGTTGGACTATGTTAGCATGAGTGTTAGAGTCTTAGTCAAAACAAGATATGAAAATGTTGCAAAAGATATGAAAGCTGCACACACTCATCCAGTGAAGAAACTTTATATAGAGACTAGCTGGGATATGCTTTGTAGGCATATCTCGTGCACTTCTCAAAAAAGTTTTACTAGTAAAACATGGGGAAATAATAATAATAGTCCCATCAGTAATTAAAAAAAAACAAAAAACATAAATAAATAAATAAAAAAAAAACAAAAGCAACTTCCGTTGTGCCCACTGTAAGGAAATTCTCCACTGCTAACTCTTTCTCTCGTTGTTCCTTGCCCATCTCCATTCCATCTATCTTCCTTCAAATTTACTAGCTTCCACTCTCCTTCAGCAAGCTCAACATGGCAATGATCTTGGATGAGCAATATCTCTACTTTGTTTGCTGATTTTGTCAGGAAGAGGTGATCATACTGCTAGATCATCTCTTCCAGACAAAATCAGCGAGCAAAGTAGAGAAATTGCTCATCCAAGATCATCGCCATTGAGCTTGCTGAAGGAGTGCTGAAAAAGAAGGAGAATGGCTTAGCTTGCACGATGTTCGAAAAATTGAGGAAGATAGATAGGAGGAAGAGGGAGAAGGGCAATGAAATCAACGAGCAGAGCAACTG